TCTGCCCCTGCAGCGCTGCTCCTGCCTCTGCCCACCTCCTGCGGCCAGGGCACGGAACGAAGCTTCCCGCCTCCTGGAGCGGCCTTGGCTGCCACTGGCACACCCTCTGCGTACATTCTGCGTACATTTCTTGTCTTGCCACAAACGATGAGCCAGACCGCGTCCAGATTACACTCAGGAGTTCTTCGGCATCTTCCACGGGATTTGGCACTCCCTCCGCACTTAGTTCTCTCTCGTTTGATCTCCAGAGAAACCAACAGAGTAGGTCTTTGGCTGCCGCCTATAAGCTCCTTGGGAAATGCCTGTTGCTATTTCCTATCACCTTCTGTAAGCACTTTTCCACCAATTTTAGGAGTGAATTTCTTTTCATCTCCCATGTGGAATACAATCTTGATCAGTTAAGGAGAGAGAAGACTTATGAAATATGTTGGATGGCAGACCAGGGGAACAAATAATTAATCTATAGTCTGGTCCCAGATTAGACTATGAGAGTAACCTCAGGTGTTTCACTAGAATACCTCAAAAACCAGTTTGCCACATAAGTCAGCAGCTGACTTGGTACTTAACAATGGAGCAGTCAGCCATAAAGGATGCAATCATACACCTGCTGGCTCCAGGGTGTGTGCTTTGCTTTTGCAGTGAAGGAGGAGGAAAAAACAGATCCCTACTGATTTCCCCATGCTACTCATGAATCTTATTTTCACAAATTTTTTACTGTATTTGGTAATTGCAAATACAGTAATTTTACTGTATTGGGTAAATGCCTAAACAAAAAGATGTTATAAAATTTTCAGCTTAGCTATTGGAGAGACAGATATAGCGGTTGAAATCTTGTCCCTGCTGACAAAGCAAAACTTGACCCAAAGTCCAAATTTTGGTTATTTTTCTTAGCTCAGGAAAAATCTATCTTGCCTGTAATTTCTCTTTTTATTTTATTTTACACTTATTTTTAGCTAGTTTTTTAAACTGCATTTTTTATGTAAGCTCTTAATGACAAAATTATCAAATATTTGTTTGTGGGCGTTTTAATTGTTCAATAAATAATATATTACTTCACCCAATATATCCAACAGCCACAGAAAAACCTAATTGTCAAGTAGAAAGAACAGCCTGAAAGATTAATGTAATTTTAGCTGTGAGACAAATTCTAGGTTGGAAAGCTAAATTTGCCTTTGCTTTGAACATTGTAATATGCAGCAGTAGGTTATGATACGTCATTGAGTGAGGGCTGACTTAAAGCAATGTTTGGTGTATTCTCCATCCTATAAAACACTCTCCAGGTTAATAATACATATTAGTTTTGCTAAAACCAGGGAATGAGATGGTTTTCTCTATTTAGTCCAGAAGAAAAGGAAAAACATTGTGGTTTTGGAGGCGGGGACAGGGAGATATTATCTTGCATTCATTGTGACTGCAAGGCACAAGCTTATCACTACAGTGACAACAGTAAAGGAGAAACAGGTCAGGAAATCAGACCTTCAAGACTGTGAAATATGTTGAGACACAAAGCACCACAATGATGGTGGCACAAGAACTCATATCTGCAGGAACAAATATGCTGTGATTTAAACCCTATGTTTAATGCTGCTGTGGACAAGCAGAAACAATGGCATGAGAACTCCATTTCTCCATTTATCTCCCTTTCAATAGTGGAAATATTAGAATAACAAAGCAGCTAGAGGTAGCAAAGCCCAATTATGGCTCAGATTTTAGATAACATTCAGTATTTATATGCTGGATAAGAAATGTTAATTCATTATACACTCTCTTCTCGCAGCTATTTCTATCTCCATTGCTGGCTATTGGTCACTACTGGGTTTATTTCTCCTTGTGATTATTTCAGTTAAAAAAAGGTATTTCTTGAAATTTTAAAAACTAAAGAAATAAAAGAATAGGAATATTTTCATCAAAAATATTTATTTTTGAATGAAAAATCTTTTCATAAAAATAACCAGATATTTTTCTTGATAACTATATTTCACCAATATTTAGCTTGATGGCCAGAGCGTCTGGCAAAAATTGGTTAATGCTCTCTAGCTCTCCTTAGAATTTCAAATCTGATATAATATCTGAGTGTATAATTTGTGTCTGAAAGACGTGCTGTAGAAATTGTCCAGAGAAAAGCCAGAATCATTTGCTAATGAATGTCTCATATTTTATTTATCTTCTCCACAGAAAAAGTACTGCTAAGTTAAAGTTGTGGTTAAAAGAAATTCCTAGAAATGTTGGAACATTTTAATTCTGGAGATCTAGGTAAAAATAAGAAAATATATAAAAGAGAATCAAGATATGCTTTCTCTTACAAAGACAAAATTAAGGCCAGAATCTCCCTTTCTAACACAGCACAGAACACCTCCAAAAACTGCCATTGACCTTTAGTGATGTTCTTTCCTCAGAACTAATTCAGCTAACACTATTTATCCCCCTGGCATTAAAGTAGTAGCAAGAAGAATACAAATTGTGTCAGCAGGTGCTATTCACCCCCTCTTTAGAGAGATGCTAATTAGGATTTGTCCATGAGCATCGATATTCTGGTTCTTTCTTTGCTGGCCCAGGTTAGGAGTACTGAGTCCTTTTCCTCTCTGTTTGTCTCACAGGGATCTGGGGAACACACCTGACAAGGCATAAAAACTTTGCTGCCTTCCACAGTGACCCTTTATGTTTGAAAAGTATACATGCTCCCCTCTTATGCTGTCCAAGTTTCCTTAAATAACCTTTGCTTTCTACATTCTTTCCCTTTCTTCAAGGATAAGCCAAAAATACATTTTCTGAAATAAAAATATAGCTTTCCCAAATGTGGGCATAATACAGATTTTTCAACCATGGGCTGAGATGTTTTATGTCTCAAATAAATGATTACTGATAATTATTTTGCAGCTGTGTTGCTATACTAGTTTTTAACTTTATGACTATTTATTTGTTTATAACTAAACAAAAGAAAAGCTTAGAGGACTTTTGAAATTCCATTTCCCCATATCTGTAATGTTTTAATTCAGCAGGTGTTTGTTAAATCATTTCAAATTTTATAGAAAAAATATATATCTTGTTCAACATTCTTTAACAATTCTGCATTTTCCATGGCTGAAAATAGTCTTCTTATGGTAAAGGAATTGCAATAGCTATGAAATCAAATCCTGCTGTGCTTTCCACAGTTATTTGGGCTTTAGTTTCTTAGAAGACACGAAGAAAAATAATGTCTTAAAATAACATTGATATAATAGCTATACTTAAAAATGAAGCTTACACACACGAATATTGAAAATCCTATTATTTTATTTGATATTTAAACATTCTGTCCATTTAGATATTTTTCTTTACTTTTTTTTAATTAAAAAAGAGTATTCTCCTTTTCCGCTTTAAATAGAAAACTTTAATATCCAAATGAATGCAAATCCCTTTCTCTCACTTAACAGCAATGAGAACTAGGAGGAATTGCAACAATGTCAAGTAAAACAGCTGTTGGGGAAGGCTAAAGCATAAAGTGATTGAGCACTTCATAAAACTATAGTTGCTATGATAGATAATCCATTGCATGACATTAGGTCAAAGAAAAACCTAGAAAAATATTTACAAAAGGTAATCAAATAACATCTGGTCAATTAATAATTGGTTTTATAGAAACATTTGAATACATGAGACTGTCTTCTTCCTATGCCAAATAATTTTTAATAGAAAAGTCCTCCCTCTCACCTCTCATCTTACCTATTCTTTTGAAAAATCTGGACTGAAATGCAAGAATAGTGCCACAGGGAAATTGTATCTCAGGTTCTCATAATTAGCCTTTTTCTAACCAATAGACCACATTCTTCTAGAAGACTAAGTCTCCACTGATGCACCATGTTCATCCTTTAAGGAGAAAAATACAATACATAGTAGGAAGCTCCAGGCCAGAGAGATTATGCCATAAATAGCTGTATAGATCTATAATTGATTGTATCTTTTACTTATAAATGGCAGTTGAGAGGGAAGTCATGAAAATGAAAGACAATTAATGTTCCCTACGTTAAAGATTTTCAGAGATCTTCTGGAGCAACACGTACACATCACGGACTAAAATGAGCTACCAAAGTTAAAATATCCAGTCCTTCCGAGGTGCTGACACTTGTTATTCCTATTGGCCTGAGCAGAAAATTTGAGCCTATAGCACCTTTGAGCATCACATAAGTTTCATTTAAATGGTTACTTTTTAGGCACTCAAATCTGAAAAAAATAAAAGGCTGTTTAAGTGTAATCTTATGAAAATATGTGACTTTCAGCACTTTGGATTCACATCTTAGAAGCGATCTATACTTAGAAAAGTAATGTAGACTCTCCCCAAAGCTGAAGTGAAAGTTCCATAAGAAACATAGAACTTACTACAAGTGGATTTGCAGAAAAAGAAGTGCAAAGTAATGCCAGAATATCACTAGTGCATAAGTAAGCATTCTTTGTACATGAATCAATCATTTATAGAAAGAGGATATAAATAAATGGTGTTTGAGCTTTCTTTCAAATACTTAGATTTCTTTATATGATACATTTTAGAACATTTCACAGCATCTAAAATATATAAAAATAAATATCTACAATATTTACAAAGTATGATACAATCCAATCCTTAAAAAGAATTGTAAAGACATGTTCTTTAGCTCATACTGAGGTAAGTAGGTTTCTGTAAGACTGAGAAAAAAGAGGATAGGCAGTTATTTTGAAGGAACCCCTTTGTCCAGTTGTAGTCTGTACCACAGCTAAAAGCATGTGACACTCTGTGGCAGTTGTAGGGTATCGAGCCAAAGTCATCCTTGCTGTAACTCCATCGAAGTGAGTTTAGTTATGCTAGGGACAAATTTATCCCACTCTGCATTCTCTGCTTTGACAGCGTCTTCTGCAGAAACCCTCATGGCTTCATCTATGTTTGAAGTCACGTTCATCCCAGGTATGTGGAGATGCAGCTCTGCTGACTTCAATGGGCTGAGCATAGCTGGGATATCTGTAGATAAAATAAAGATTTTAAATTATTTCACTGCTTGTATCAGGTGGCTGGCTAACTGACTCTCTGATTATCTCTCTCTGAACACTCTGCAGGTGATTATCTATTAGTAAAATGGTCTTCCAGAAAATGTTTCAAATTGCATTTGAAAATTTGAAGTGAAAGCTTCTTGACTGAAGACTAAGGGCATTTCTAAGGCATAAATCTAGATTTTTTAACTTTTCAACATTTTAATGTGTTCTACTACTTATTATTATACCCTGTGGTTCCTTATCCAGATGCCTTTCTGACCAGCAGTGCACCATGGCTTCCTGTTTATGAATCAGTCATGGAATCACTGATAGTTTGGGTTTGAAGAGACATTTAAAGACCATCTAGTCTAACTCCCCTGCCATGAGCAGAGGACAGAGAGAAGAGAATAAATCAGAAACAAAGGGTAAAACATAATTTATAGCCACACTGTCAAATGAGTTGCATATTTGTAACTTTGCTTGTGCTGTACATAAAGGAATGGCAATGCTACTGAATTCAGGTGAAAAACCCCATTCCTTCTACATTAAGTGAAAAGTGGCTTCCCAGCTGTTCCTGGACACATTCAATAGCCTACCATGAAAAGAACAAAAATTTTGGAAAATAAATGAATATTAATTGCTCTTTTGATCAGTCTAACTCACACCAGAATGCATGCTAAGCAGATACTTTGAAATGGTAAAAGACATTAATGGTAGTTCAATCTCTACACTCAGTTTTGATTAAAACATTTGTTATAAAATATACCACAACTTCAGCTAATTAGATGAGAGCTGTTTATATACACAGTCCAATGATAGGGAAAATAATTTTCATACTCTCAGATAACGGGTTCCTTATTTACTTAGTAGTCTAAAAGAAGTAGGTATCCAAAGAAAATATTTGTATAAAACATGACTGCTTTTCTCCCTAGCTATCTGCAACACGACTTGAAATAAATGTGAGAAATTTTCTTCCCTCATTATATAATCAAAGTTATGGCATATTCTATAAAATATTTATTTTAATTTTCTTTTCTTCTTAAAATTAAGTCAGTTCTTAATTTTAACACCCTTCTCTCTTTGTGCTCAGATCCCAATATTGATAGATGCAGAATTAGAATTTACTTCTATGGGATCAAAAAGCATAGGGACCAGTATACTAATAGTGAGTAATAGATGCAGTACCATTTGATGGAATTGTGTTTATGTTGGTCAATACAACGTGTTCTGAAAGTTTTGAAACGTTATCAAAATTGCTGATCTGGGTGGTCAAGGATTTCCGACTCTCTGTACTGGCACGACCTCTGTTGAACCGTTCGTCATGGTGGCTGCGAATGCCAAAGATGCAACAGGAAAATGCTGCTTTAAATTCTTCTCTAAATTTCCCTGTCAACCACAAAAATGACTCATGAAAAAATTGTACTATAAACTGCATTTCATCAAACTTTATAGATTAGGATATAAAGGAGATATCTAAAGCAAAATTAATGTGAACCACCCAGATGGTCTTCTAATGCAAAAGGAGAAAATCACAGTTTAATCATCTTGGAGAAAGACAGAAAAAAGACAACCTTTCTAAGAGGACATGTGAGGTGTGATGTGAAGACAGAATTATTCTTGGCTGGACAGAATGGACAAACTAGAATGATTAATGACACCACCTCATAGATAGTTTACGTATGTAACATAAAAATAATTGAGCAAATATAGGCTTGAATGATTGTATCTTTACTTGATATGTGAAATGAGAGAGCATGGCTAATTTGTGTTTTATCATTAATAGATTTTTAAAGAAGATTCACAATGTTTGACAATTCCATGCTTTTGGGGCTCAGAGGAAATTGCTCAGATCATTATCATACTACACACCACAAAAAAACTATAGTGGGCCAATACATAGTGAGGATCAATAGAGTTTTGCCTCCCTGTATTTAGCTGCAATACTACCAGGTCAGGTCCTCATTCTGCTCTCCAAGCCAAATGACACAAATACAAACTGTGAGAAATCTATACTAGCAAGTAAACAGCTGGTTTTTGAAGTTGACCCTACTTGGCACAGTCTGGCCATGCGGGTACTATTAAAGACTCACAGCCTCCAAATCCCAAGACTTGGATATAACACGCCAGCTGGGGACAGCCCCCAGACTGTGCTACCTGCCAGAGAGCATCCAAGAGTCTTTAGAGGAATGGTAATTGTTTCAGATCAAAGTCATGCCAGGAACTTCTCTGCCACATTAATGTCACACTCTAGCACTTGGACTCAGGCCCTGGCACACTCCAGGTTACTTTTGGTAGACAGCTGAGGGTAATGGGATACTTCAGGCAACTTCTTCTAGGAAGAGGATCTAGCTCCCACTGGAGGAGCTGAGCTGAGTCATTAATTTTTGCTATGGTTCATTACATTCAAATTACACATTAAACTTGAATTCTAGGTAACAGTAACTTACCACTGAGGAAGTTATAAATAATAGGATTGGCAGCACTGTTTGCGTATACAAGCCAGTGTGAGAATGTGAACCAGGCATATACAGTTTCTCTGTCATCAGCATGATTAAACATCCCCAATACCCTACAGAAAGAGAAAAGCAAACCTGAAAGATGGCAAAATTGGAATTCGTTTTAAAAAATTTTACAGCTTCTAGCCTGATATTCTCTCTGATGACCTATTTGCAGTACCACAAAAAGGCTGATTCAGCAGTGCTCTCTTACTTGAGAGAAAGAAATCCTCTCCCCAGCCCTCAGCCTCCTGTCTTGGTGGTTTGGCACAACTGAGACTTTACCATGGTGAAGATGCACAAGTTTTCTGCCAAGGAATTGAAGTCATCTGGTGTAACATAAGCCAAGAAAAGATAGGAAAAGTTGCTTTTGATGTACTTATGTCACTAATCTTCCTGGCTCTAGGCCCACTCTCCAAGATACTCTCCAGGCCACTCTCCAAATATCTCTGGAATTGAAAAGGTATTTAACTGGCCCCAAACCTAAGGCTACTGTAGCAGTTTCTGCCCTCCAGAGAAATCTGCATCTCCCAGACTCTTTACGCATTACTTCTGACATTCACATGAAAATCTAACCCTGGGCCTACTCTGATATTGTTGATGTAGCCTGTGTATTTCCTCTTTTTCATGTTGTGGGAGCCACGAACCATCTTCTGGAAATAGTTTTCTCTCTAAATTTCCTACAAAGGGACTTGAGAATGAAAAGTATTTAAATTAGGCCTCAGGGAAGAGCTAGAATTGAGTAGGATGTATGTAAACCTTGAAAATCTCCCTTAAAAACTAAAATGTTCCAATAACACTCCAATTAAAAAAAAAACACTAATAACATGCTCATTTTTTTTAGGATATTCAAATCTTCTGGCTGTGTGCCATTATTTATTGGTATTCCAGGGGACTCATGAGGTGTAACTTTACCAAAGCCTCAGTCTGTCAGGCACTGTATAAATACCAAGAGTGTACACAATCACATACGAAAAGCACAGAGAGAAAAAGATAAAAAGTTAAAATACAGCTTCATAAGACCAATGGAAGGGTTAGTCTAAGGTCTCAAAACTGTACATGAGTAGCTTAGGTTTGAAGTCAGCATTTCACAGCCCTTAGAGCCGAGCCACAACACTGCACTCTGCTGCTAACCTTCAGCTGCTGCTTTAGGTGATTGCACTTCCATGGGGGCATTTACAGCAAACAAGCTGCAATTTCACATAAATGATGAGGTTTGAAGAGGAGATAAGTTAGATCATTTTTATGAGGAAGATCTTGTTAATAAGAGTTCCACAATCTGGCCTCTAGTTTAAGTACTATGGATAGGTTATATATATATAAACATATAGGTGCTATTTATATTATTTTCTCGCAATACTATGCTTATTTTCCACTTCTTTATCATGCAAAAAGTAAGCTTATCTTTCAATAGTATCTGTCAGAATAAAAGGAATCTTGTAACAGAGAATTCTGGTTTAGACAGAAAGCTTTACCAAGTGTTTATATTTTGAGATAAACTTTACCTTTTCAAGACATTAAGGATGCTAATTGGTAGGTAGCAAAGTGCAAAAACCAGAAGGACGACCATTAGCATACGTGCTGTTTTCCTTCTTGCACGAATCTGTTTTATTTCAGCTGCCACAGCACTAATCTTTGACTTTGTTGATTGTCCCAGCCCTCGGGGCTGTGCTGAAGGCTGCTGCGGTTTCCATTTCTTCTGAACAACAGAAGAAGTTCCTGGGATCTAAGGCAAACAGAATAAGGGGCATTTTGAGAAACATTTTAATAAACCAATTTTGTTGGCAGATATAACAAGACAAATAGACACCTCAACATACACAGTGTAAGCTCACAGGGATAAAAAGGATTTTTAAATTAATTTAATTGATGTAGCTGCAGGAAACAAACTGAATTTGAGACACACAAGAGGGACTGCATAAAAAATTGTGTTTTATACACAGATATCAACTGATGCCCTCAAGTTTTCTTTACTTCCCACATACCTTGTCTTGCCTGCATCTTCAGACTATCAACATAACCAACCCTATTGCTGCAATTATGTTGCTTTAAAGTTCTACATTAAATGTTTTGTTGTATAGCAGAGTAGTTTTCCCCACTAATATGCTGCTAATATAAGATACCATACAGTTTTTCAGTACTGGAAAACAAGGATTTAAAGTCTACATAGCTTTAAGTGCCATAAAACTTCCATACATGCAACCCATATGACAGTGAAGTAGCTAAAGAAATAACCACAGCTGAAGTGTGGATCTCTCTGCAAAGTTCTTCTAAATTGAGGGAAATCATGGAAATCAACTTGTCCTGCCAAGACACAGGAAGAATTAGATTAGTCAAAGACATGCAAAGAGTTGCATGTAGGACCATGCTATTAAAAAAAATGGTTTTTTGTTTCCTGCGCCCTCACATAAGACAAGCCAAGTAAAACCATTTTGCTTCAGTTCTTCTAAATTACTTCCTGCCTGCAGCAAAATGTGAAAGACCGCAGATGTCAAGGACTATCTCAGAGAACTCTATTACAATTACATTTATAATATTTTCAATGTCATACAGTGTGAAAACCTCTTGGCTAAAAATACAGTTTTATTTATGTGTAGTGCAACTGTGTGTAGGGTGACTAAGCTCATGAGAAATGTTTCAACTTCAAAAGTATCTGAAAAGTTCACATTGTCTATTGTAACTTTTTTTTTTTTTCAACCTGGTCTTATGCAGACAAACGGACCAGAAAATTATGAAAATTTAGTATTTATTTAAGAAAGATAAAAGTAAGATAAAAAGCATGCACATTCAGAATTGTTCTAGAAAACCTACTATGTTTTGGTTTTGTGGGGTTGGGTGGGGGTTTTTTTGTTGGTTTTTGGTTTTGGTCTATTTATTTATTTGTTGTCTGGGGTGGGAGTTGTGCGGGAATATCTTCAGACAAGCTCTTAGTTCAGCATTTATGTACACACCAAACATGATTTACAACTATTGGAACATTTTGGCAAAGTTGCCATCTAGTGAGCAGAAAATCCATTAAGCAAAACTGGGAATAAATTCTAACATTTAGTTTTTACTAATGTATCCCATGGATTTAAAACAACTCAGCCCCTTACACTTCTACTCTGGATTCCCACTCACACAGCTGAAATCATTAATTACCAGCTTGACAATTGCACATCAGTACTATTGCAAGGGATTTGCCCTACTTGGCTGTGGGGTGTAGCAGAGAAGTGATGGAATGAAAGGAAATTGTCTCAGGTTAAGCCAGGGGAGGTTTAGATTGGATATAAGGAAAAATTTCTTCACAGAAAGGATAGTCAAGCCTTGGAACAGGCTGCCAGACCACTCCTGGAGATATTTAAAAGATAAGCAGAGGTGACACTTTGGGACATGGTTTAGTGGTGAACTTGGCAGTGTTATGGTTGTTATGCTTGAATTCAATGGTTGTTATGGTTGAATTTAATGTCCTTAAGGGCCTTTTTCAAAATAAATGTTTCTATGATTCTTTATGTAAACAAATATACACAAGTTTACACATGGGAGCATAATGCATATATTTGCTTGTTGGTAATTAATCAGTCAGAGAGATAATTTTGAAGCATTTGTGTAATTCCAACATTTTATGAAAAGCCTATTAGCTGTGAATATACAAGTACTAAAATTTAGAGTATTACTTTCTTATGCATCTTTCCTCTACCCCTCAGATAGTTATCAAGGGGCTTGCAACCAAGGAAAATTTCTCAAATGTAGTATCGACTTGCAAAGATTGGGAGGGTATATTTCAACTACCAAAAAGAAAATGGATAAAGTTCCTAATTATTAATTCAAATGTGCTTTAGTGATAATGAATTCAGACATGAGGAAATTGAAGCATACTAGGAACTTGATATTACAAATTATGTATCAACATTTTCATCATATTCAGTTCTGTTTGTACAGAAGCCATTTTTAATCAACTTAAAATCCACACAAGAACATAGACTTCTAAATTACTACCTCCTTACTAATAATTAAAATTAATTACTCAAAATCTATAGTATTTTTTGCATGATTGTACTTGTCTTTATAAAAGTGAGTCGGTAATTCAAAGATCTGCTTGATTTATACAATCAGAAATTTTAAGAGCTATTACACAAAGTATGGCAAAGATAACTTGTAATTCAGTCTCTTTCATTTGAAAATTTGCATGCACAACACATTACATTTTAAAAAATAATATAAAAAATATAGGGCATAGAAAGGATCTACTGTTAGTTGTTTTTTCTATCATGTACATCTGAAAGGCTCATTGTACCTTGCAATAAGATCATCATATTTAACTGAATTTCTGGTAAACAGCATGATTTTTTATTGAAACTGTTACCAAAGACCACATCTAGAGCACTTCATTAATTTGTGCTACATGACTGATTACAGCACACCTGCTGCACCTACAAAAGTGCCTGATGCCTGCAGCAAAGTCATAGCTGATAATAGATGTGCAGTGGTTTTAATTTCACTTAGTGCAGCCTCTTATACTTAGTGCTATCATCTAGGCCAGGCAGAGAGACAGCTGTAATTTGGCACCACTGACAGCACTAAGCCTGCAGTAGAATTTCTCTTTTTGTCACTGAAAAAAAAGGATCATCCTAATCTTGCCAGTGTGCAACATGAACAGGGAGAAGAAACCTGAAGAACAAATAGACCAGCTAAAACAACTGGGAGTGGAGGTGGGGGAACCCAAAAAAAAGGTTGGTTTTCAGCTATTCAACTTCTGCTCTGCATCTGAGGCAGCAATTTCAGCTACGTGTAGGTTAAGAACAACTGTTTGCATTAACTTAGTTAATGCAGAGCTCGAGAGGGTAGGCAGATTGCAAAGAAGAGAAGGTTGAGAAGAATTATGGTGATAAAGCCATTGGGTGGTACAGGACAGATTCAGCAAGGCAGAGCATATAAACTATGTTTAGACTGGACTTAAAACTAAGCAAGAAATCCTTTGCTCTGGAGAAGAGTCCCCTCAAACTGTAAAGGTTAAATTTAATCTCCAAGCCATCTTGTTATTTAATCTTATCAACCTAAGAAATTAAAAGCAAAAATAATAATTTAAAGCTGACAAGCAGGATAAACAGCAATTCTGGTTTAACCTAATCTGATTAGAAGTGACAAAAATTGCTCTTATGACTTATGGACAATATCAAAAAGCCTTAAAGTGGATTTGGTATTTCCTGTGTATGAGTTACTTGTGAGAGATATATTCTGTCAGTATAAGATTTGATTTTTAATTTTATCATATGCATATTTAGAAATACAAAGTCTATTTGTGGTTTCTCCAATTAATCATTATGAACTGCATGAAAAATGCTCCTGATGGGGCAGGTATTATCCCCTGGCCAGGACAGCCTCAGAATTGAATGGGATCAAACATGCTGGTGAGAGAGAAGTGATTCATGCCCATATGTTAATGGAAATATGAACTATGTTAGAGCCACTTGAGATGGAATATCTTGCATTATTTCTTCAACAGGATGGGTATTTTGTCCTTTTCAGAATGACAGGGCAGCTGGTGGTGGACTACAGCTATAGATAAATCCTGGACAAAGCAGAAGACATCAGAGAGCACCACAGACAGGTGCATGATAAATTACAGTTCCCACACAAAAACCAATTTTTTTAAAGATTCTTGAAAAAAACATTCATCATTTTGCCACTTAAATTCAAATGTTCTTTGTTTGTCTGCTTGATGCTTTTTTTTTTTTGTTTTGTTTAGTGTTCTTGTTTTCTTTCCTGTATTTTTATTTGAATCTTGAAAAAAAAAAAGGTGTTCACATTAGAAATTGTGTCAATTATTTTTATATCAATTCACAGCAAATGTTTTTGGTAACAGCCAGCTTCACATCAGGAAATTCCAGTCTCCCAGTACTGATAGCCGGACCTTCTAGTTTAAATTTTGCTCAGATTGGACCTGCCATCAACCTGAGTAAGAAAAATAAAAATAAAACTAACAAAATGAGAAGGTCAATCTTAAATTTGACTGCTACAGGAGATTTTAGCAGTATAAATAAGGTCATCTTATTTTGGCAAGAATTTCAGATACAATCAGTACATTCAAGTGAGAGACATTTTCCTTCTACCTATAATCAATTTTTCTGATGCCTTTTGCTTTCTTTCTCTCTAAGACAAAGCCCTTCACAGACACATGAAAGCTGTTTACTTTGACTGCCTTCGTTTTTCATTACATCTCAATGCCTCCCCAAGGTGGCTGTATACCTGCATGGATGGAAAAATCAAAGTCCCAAGTGACAAAATGGAGTTTATACAGGCAGAGGTTGTACATGGGAATCTGCACAAAGCTGTGAGAGCAGTTAAGCAGAGGCAGTGCCGAGCGCCTTACCTGGCGACACCACAGCTTCCGGAATATTTGCAAATAGGCCAACACCATAAGACACAGTGGTGCCATGTATGTCACCAGAAAAAAGCATGTGTGATACATTTTGGGGTACACCTCAGCTGGAAAGAGAATTCAAATAGGAAAGGTGCATTTAAATATACATTTCAAAATCACCTTAAGAAAAATTATTCATATAGATATGCATGTATTTTTCAACACAACAGGAAGATGTGCCAAATAATATTATGGTCAAGATTGGTTTTTCAATCTCTTCTAGATACACTCTATCAGAAACATACTTTTTATCTCAAGTATCTCCTATATCACACTACAGATTTCTTATCATATTATTACTTTATGTATGGAGTCTTAAGAAGTTTTACTTTTTGTTAAAACAGGAATGGATTAATTTTTTTTATCTAAAAATGAAATGTTATCTATAAGTGAAAACTTTTTCTATCTAAAAATAGGTAAGTAATCAGTCAACCTACCTCATCCTTGACATATTGAAAGGATGTCTGTCATTAGTTTAATTCTGCAAAGGCTACTACGTATCCCTGAGTAAACTGCACAATCCCTCACGTACAAAGACTGCAACTGCAAACTACAGCACACAGGACACTGATGGGAGGAGAGACACACATTCCATATATCACTCGTTGGTGGCAGAATATATCTGACTAAGATGCAGTAATTAATTATTATGATTAAATTTTAAAAATAGAATCAGTACATGCAAGTGTTTTAAACCTAGGAAATCTCCAAGATGGTTTTTAACTCAGATTTAACAATAAAAAGTTTGGTACTGTTGTGTTCTAATTTCCCATGTATCTCTTTTCAAAAGACAACTTATGAATGTTATTTGCTTAGAGTAAATATCTTAGAAGTGCTGTGCCTGTATTGAGTTTTAAGAATGTTGCATCTTAAGCTCCATCAGTAGTTTACACCAGAATGTGCACTGCCTGAAAACTTGTCTTCTATTTTGTAACATTAAATGTAGTTTGCTATTACCAATTGTTGGTATTAATTACAACTTAACATCTGTGGATGGCCTCAGAAAAGGAAAGAACTTTTTGGACAGTAACAACACATAGCAGAAGAGAAACTGCACCCCATGAACAGTTAAATTGCAAGGTAATACTAAGCATTGCATCTTAGATAAAGAAGGAAATTTTATTTTAATTTCTAGAATTTCCAAATGTTTCAGAATGATAAGATCTGCAAGTGAAATTCTGTATTGATTCCTTTTTAAATTAAAAAAAAAAAAAGGAAAAAAGAAAAAAAGGAGGGGAAAAAAAGAAACAAAAAAAATATTTGCATGAGATCAAAACTGGTGCATCAAAATTATTTTCTGCCTGTTAAAGGGACTGAGAGTGTGGACCCTATCAAAGAAGAGCATGCCAGGAGAATTTCAGAGCTTGTTCAGGCAAAGATAGACAAAGACTTGCCCCACAACTCTCATAGTAGGGAAGAGAACACCATAATGTAAATGCCAGGCTCACTCTCAAATGCAGACTCAGGTAGTCTCACACTTGCCATTGGACCTGAAAGTGCCTGCTGGTACACCCAGAAAACCTTCAGTGTGAAGGAGATGGAAACCTGCTACAGCAAAATCCAGCCAATGTTAATTGCCAGCAAAGGTAATAGAGATGCTGCCACTGACATTTGATAGTTTTGATACATCAGAGTTCAAAAAATTCAGATTAGTAGCATTTAACTTCCTACTTGCTCTAAGAAAGATCCTGTAGCAAACCAACTTACCACCTCCTAACTAGCAGCTGCAGCTACTAACTCTTGTCAATGTCCCTGGGGTAGCCAGACCATTTGGGGCAGGTTTATTATAACTGGCATTAACCTGAGATTATATGTTGATTGATGATCTCAAACTTGCTTTGCATTCCAGAAAATGCAGCCTCACAGCAACCCTGCTAGCCAGGGAAGTATTGGCATGCATGCTCCACAGGTGGAGAGATTAGGGAGCAACTGGAGTAACGTGACTTGCTGGGATCACAGGAGGTCAGAACTGAAAGAACATTCTTTCTGCTCAGGAGGAGGTGCCACCTGCCTAGTCAGGGCTCCGCCAGCAGCCGGGCCCCTTTCAGGTGGAAGGACGGTACATATTTAAAAGGCCATCTGGAGTTTATGACTTCCAATTTAGCATTCCAAGTAAAGTAAAACATTAAATGAGCCTAGCTATCTACAAAGAACTGAGGACCAGGTTGGAGGAAGATCCTAACACTTGCCTTTGAAGTTTAACCACCTGGAAAGTGCCAGCTGCTAAACATCAAAGGAAACCTGTCCCTCCTCCACCCAGGGCAAAGCCCTTTGCAGAACTTTTCCCTAAGAAACATGACTCTGCTTAACTTCTCAAGCCAAAGAAAAGCTTTAAAGCTGTTTGACAATCCCAGCAGCAAGAAGGAGGAGGGCTGGCTAAAGATACTATTCATTTATCAAGTGAGTTCCAAGCTCCTTGAATGCAAACATCAATCAGTCTGTGGTCCTGCCTGACTGGGACAGCTGAAACTCTTACTGCCAAGCAGAGGGGGAGAAAAGGGTCCTATGGTCCCATAATGGACTTCAGGACAGGGGGAGATTGTTCTTAGCTGGAGTAGCCACCCCTTTAAGAATGAAACAATGACTCTCATGCCTCTGGCTGCTATTCTATTGGAAAGAGAGAGTAAAACTTAAAGCAAACAGGTGGTCACAGGGATTGGACTGGATTCAGATCAGCATTCCTACTCAGCTTCATTCATACACTGTAATTACCCCACCCTATAAAGGATCAGTATGTTAAATTGAGCTTTCATTTGTCTACTGCAGGGGTTATTAAACACATTTTAAATGTTTCTAAAGCTTCCCTCTCCACATGATCTTCCAGTCCCAGCCTGAAATTGGTAGATTGAAACTGCAGCTTCTGGATTTTTCCCAGAATTTTACTATATTTGTGTAAATACATATATACATACATGTATACATATACATATGTAATTAAATTGAAATAAACACTCAAAACGTTGTGATATGTCTAGCAAATGAAATAGTCCCTTTAGCCATAGTGCTTAACAAAACTGGTACTCCTGACAGCTTCCTTAATAGGGAAAATCAGGACTATCAAGTTTGCTGAGCATCAGTAGAGTTCCCAGGTTTCCTACTCTCAGAAAGATACCCATGAGGTTCTGGAGTTACCAACATAGAGAAGCAATGCAACTTAAAGTGTACATTTTTAAAATAAAGCTTAATAATCAAGGATGTTAGGAAGTGGGTGCCTATAGGACAAAAAAGTCAAACACATAATGCAGTGCTTCCAAGCTAAGTTCCTATGTCAGAGTACTTAGGGCTAGCTAATACTAAAATTACATGTTGAAACTGAATATATTGTGCTTGAGTTATCAACTTACAATAACACGCAGCATAATTTTAGTATTTGAAATATTCTAACTTCCTTCTACATTAAAATATGCCAAGAGTTTTTCATTAAATTTTGAACACTTTGATAAACAGGATGTATAAATCTTCTTGTAGTACTGCAATTTCCAGCTATTTGTTTTCCAGAATTAACACAATGTGGTTTTGTACTATTGTATGAATAGTCTAAGAGGAAAAGGAACACGAAGTCTTCCCTTTGTTTCCACTCAGCCATGCAGTTTTGGGAAAGAATTATCTCCATATTCTTTTTATCATTTGCAAAGGGCTTGGCTAATGTACTTTGGCTAACACTCTCTTCTTGAACAGCTCTAAGACAATGTACTTAGCTGACTTGGACACATGGTGAACTCATTTTAATATACATTTCTTTTATTTTGGCATTTTATCATCAAATTCAGCACAGCAATTACAGACTATTATAGAGCTGTGGCCAACTCTGGCTCCTTAAGTGAGCCTGCATTGGTCACATGTTGGATTCTTCTGCATTCCCAAATAAAATATTGTTATTAGACAGTACTCAAGATGAAAAACCCTCAGCCTAGAACTGGCAGTGAATTTTACATTCAGGAATGCCAGAAGCAATTACAAAGAAATTGAGCCCTGTTTTAGGCTGAACTACTGCTCCACTTGCAGCCACTGGCAGCTTTCCAACAGCATGCTCAAATCTTATTAGTCAGGGTGGCGACTATTTGTTCACCATTGAGGAGCCCAGGTGCCACAGTACTGATCAGACCTTCCCTCCAGACACTCATCGGACTTTTATGGTCTCCAGCAGCTGGCCCTAAGTCTGTGTAGGGTACAGTGCTGTCTCCTGCTTTGGCATCTCTGACATCTTCCTGGACGTGGCTTTCAGTTACTCTTCCAAAGCACCTCATGCTTCAATGGCCCTGGGGTCCCAGAATTAAAACAGACTTCCAAATCACTTTGGAAAGTGTTATTAAGCATCCTCTTTTTGCAGTCCCAGTCTTTAACATTCACAGTTTAACACCCTCAGAACATATGGTGCACATGATATTCTGCAAAGATTTTATCAGATGTACTGTAATTTTAGACAGCATTAATTGTATGCAGTTCTAAACAAAGCAATAAACACCCTAAATACAATCCCTTCTTGAAACTGATTTTCCTATAGAACTTTTGAGTGTATGCAACATCTACATCTCCACTTTCTCTTTGCAAATATGGGTTATTTGTAGCAGCATTAATTTCTTTCTCCTTCAACATCCTCCTAGACAGCTCTTTCTTTGACGTTCTATATTTGCATAGTCAAAAGAGGCAAAACAAAATCCGACAACAATGTAGCTATTTTCTTGAAAAATATTAGCTTTTTATTTCTTCTTCCAGCTTTAATGCTCATCATTCTTTTCAAACCACTGCCTTACTGTTTTCTTTTGTTCTTCTTTTTGTGGGCCTTTATGATTTCAAACTCTATTTTTCAGTAGAAAAACTGCATATTCTATGCTTTGAACTAACTCAGAGTCCTTAGAAACTTTCAAGAGAATGGAAATTATTTTTGAATTAGACTTTATTTGCTATAGTCTGAAAAGGATGTATGTATATATATATATATATATATATATGAAATCCTCATTGATAAAATATAGTTAACTCTACTTTTACTAGTCAATTCCATGATTTTGAGAAATTTGCTAATAATTTAATTAATGCATATAAAGATTCTTCTTTCAAGTTACTATAATAAGCTATTATTAGAACATAGAGATTGTTTAAGGATACCAAAAATGCACCAGCAGAATAACTAGCAATGATGGTGCATCACCATTGGAAGAATTATTTGTTTAAAAGGTAGCAAGATAAAAACAGGATTGTTATCTTTCAGTGGAGTGAAAAGCTTCCCATTTCAGAAAACTTTTTAATATAACATTAGTCTTTTCATGCTCAATATAAATAATAATTTTTAAAAATTGGAGTGATTGTTCTCCCTTTCTGAATCCAGACACAGAAAAATTGTTTCTATACACAAATACACTTGCCTTTATTATAATCCCCTCTATCTCTCCAAACATCCAAGTGAAGGCTCACATCATAACCTGAAGACCAGTAGATTAAATTTAGACAAATACACTCCATAGGAGTAGAGTCTTGCAAGCACATGGGAATTTGGGTTTGTTGTTTCTTATTGGGGTTTTTTTGAATAGTGGGTGCTTCACTTCAGGCTGCAACTACTTCAGCACAACTGAACAAGAGGCACTGTTTAAAATATTTCTAAACCTACTACAGAATCTGTAGTTCAAAAGTAGCACTTTTCCATTGGGAATCAAAAAGTCGCCAATACAGATCTGGAAATTACATTCCCTGATGAAATGCTCTCTTGATTTCCTAATAAATTAACCACATCCTTTCCTCGGCTGAGATTAAAAGAATCTTTGCTGCAGAGTTAACCCTGAAGTGATGAAGGCATGAATAATTGCTTCTGCACCAAAATGAGTGGACAAAAATTGTACTTGGAATGAATGCTGTGAAAGAAAATAGTAACATAACTACTGTAGTATGCTGCAGCACAAGGGGACACAAAATTTTTCACAGATGAAGGAAGAACACCAGAAGTAAAGAAGAGATTTGTCCTCTCCAATGAAACATTAAGTACAATACAGCTTAACAGAGGCTCCCTCTCAGCTATGAACTTCGAGCAGACCTTTGTCAGCAGTGAGTGCCAATGAGCTCGGGGCCACCTCTGCTCCCTTGCCTTGTCCCAGAGGACTAACTGGGATGAAGGAGATAAAGAACAGGGAATGTGATACCCAGTCTTCTCATTAATCCTCTGTGTACGCTGTTAGCAGGAAAGGAACTTTCAGAAGAGCACATGGAAGAGTCCTGAGCAGTTCAGCCTGTTTAAGCTAATTTATCATGATAATTAAACACAGGTGAGCCAGTTGTATTTTATGACAATTGTTCACAGGGCTGGAATCTTCTTCTACAGAGACAGCGCTGGGAAAATATCTGATTGTGCTTCAGCCGGACTCAAGGCTATTAAACAGGCACCTTTTAGATATGTGTTTTGGCAAACTTAGCTTTATTTTCCTGTGTGGGTGAAGAATGGTATTACTGATGGCCATTATATCCAGTGTCAGAGTCACAGCATGTAACTCACGCACTCAGTTAGCACTGGAGGTGTGCCAAGGCCCACCAGAGTCGAGCCTCAGCCATTCGGGTGGGTGGCTCACACCCCTTGCTGTGAACCAAAGACAAAATAGATGCAGTTACTCCCTGGCAATCCTTACAGCTTCAGTCAGACACAGAACATGTTAGATTCAAAGTTACTCTGGAAAGGCAGGGTTACACTTCTTGTATACATTAATTTGTAACTGATCACTTTCACAAAAGTGTTTAAATTATTTTGTCCATGACAAATTTCAAATTTTACATTAACTCACTACCCTGTATTGATGACATCCCTGTAAATTCTGCAATGACATGCAATTTGCATTGAACTCCCAGGAGATACCTATAAAGACGAGTCAAATGCCAGCAATTAGGAAAATATCAGGTGAAAAGAAAATCTGTTCTTGCATAGTTACTTCTCAAGGCTAAGTACTGAAGTCTTTGTCAACCATCGATGTACATCAGTCACAGAATTATATAAGCATCAGCATTGAAGGGACGGAACACTTCTGCCCTCTGGGAAGCATTAACATGATCAAGACATTAGTCAGTCTCATTCATTTAAACTTCATTTAAAATGTATTTTAAGCCTCAGCAACACAAAATAAATTCACAGAAATTTCAAAAATTTGAAAAAATGATAGTTCCTGGAAAGCTTATATAATCAAGAAAATTTATTGTTATGTTTATATAACTTGACTTCATATTAACATCTCCTGATATTTTGATTACTTCATTTAACACCTCCTGTTATTTTGATTACTTTATAGCAGTACAAAGTCAGCTTGTATGGTCAATGACAGACTCACCTCCCCATTGCTCATCACACACTGTGAACAAGGTGGTTTTATTGGCTAATCCTGGGAAAACACTGCTGCACTCCATAACAATAGCCTGAGGAATCATTATGATGCAGGACACAATCCAGATAATTATAATGCTGTTCCTTGCTCGCTTGGCTGTGCTTTTAAACATCAAAGGGTGACAAATTGCATACCATCGATCCAAAGCAATGCAGCTGAGTGTTAGGACAGACACAGACACTGAAACTGTCTAAAGAAAAAGAAATATTATATAAATTTAAATGTGAGGATTTTACCTAGAGTTTAAAAATTATTTATCATCATTTCCTCCCAGAGTTTTAAAAATTGTTTATGTTTTCAACATTGTTAGTTCTTTATTTGCAATTGTTAAATAGACTCCCAGAAAAAAATACTACATTTAAAATAACTTCTTACAGAATTACAACAGATATCCTCAGCTGCTGTACTCCTACAAGAATCCACAAGACAATTCACACATCAGGATGCTAACTAAACAGAATGGGTGTTGCAAAATCAAATTTTGAAATAGAAAATTTAATCAACTTGGAATGTATAAAACTTTATCTGAAAAAACTTTTCAAACATTAGACAGTGAATTTTATCATTTTTCTTTGTAGAAAAAAATTATTTGTTGGTTTCTATGTTATATTAGCATACCAGAGCCATCATTTTACTTTTTATTTTTACAGGAACAATGAAACCCAGGATCTCATTAAAAAGTCCTTTACAACAATCAGCTTAAGGCAGACTAAGATATTTTACCTTTTATTTAGTAAAGGAAATAACCTATCACTTCAGTTTTATTGTTTCAATTTGTATACTTGGTGATCATTCACTCTTCAGATTTTCTTTCACTGGAATGGAAGTTTTGAACAAAAAAGTTGTGATTTTGATTGTATCAAGTAGAGGTTGTAGCTGCTGGAGAACTTTGCCTTTGACATTATATTTCTTTGGCCATCAAGGTATCTTCTGCAAATATAAACTGTGCTGGAGGCACAGAGCTGATGATCCGCACACACTCTGGGTACTGCTTAATTATTCTGAATTTTAATGACTACAAAGCCAAGCACTTGTCATTCTAGTTTACCCAGTCAGCTCATCCATTCACTTGTTCTTAGAAAAGGTATTTATCAATCATCTTGATGTAAATAATTTTAAAACTAGTTAAGTCCATGGGTAAATGAGAAGCAATTATTGCTTAAGGCAGACAATCTGATCAACTCCCAGCGAACCTGGATACTTTGACACAAATTCAGTAAACATAAAAAAAGTTTATACTGCCTTCAGGAGTTGGATTCTCTGTCCTAGACACTTGTGTAGCTGTTCAGATCCACACAGAGAGAATATTAATGAGTTTATTTATGTTTACAGGTATTTTTATTGCTTTACATCCCTTCTGAATCATTAAAAAGATCTCAGAAAGTAAAGAGCATAGAAAAATGTTCCAAAAGATGCATTTTTGAAGTCCATCAATTAGATGGGACGAAAACCTTTATTCTGCATAATCATATTCCCAAGAGGAACATATTCCCATAATCGTATTCCCAAGTCTTTTAGGCCTCAGCATGTACTCTGAGATACCTACTCAGTATAAGGTATGGACTTTCATTGGACTGGAAGTATCAGGAAGATGCTGTTGTCATTTCTGGTTCTCATAACATGGGTAAAGTGTACACAAACAGAAAAATAATACCTGTAAGTAGGGAATCACTTTGCAGAGGGTCTGCCCAAAGAACCACGTTTCTGTGATGTCCACAACTAAGGTTGCTGGAAGACAAGTAATTGTGACCAGGATGTCAGCCAGAGAGAGATTCACTATGAAGTAGTTGGTAACGGTGCGCATGTGATGGTTCTTCCACACTGCAAGGCAAACTGAATTTGGAAAGACAAGTTAGTGAGATGGAAACGACTTAGGAAATGCTTTAAGAGGAAAACATTTGACTTTGTGGAATTAAGGAAATGTTTGTGTCCTTTGTTTCACACAGAATATCTGAATATGTAAGAACCATGTGCTTTCTTTTAGAGTAGAAACAAGAGGATACATGTAGACAGATTCTTATTACACAAAGGATAGCTTTCCACAGACTGCAGGGTGGGAAATAATCCAACATATAAAGCATCTTCTCTGCTAGTTAATCTTCACTAACTACTTATACAACTTCATTTCTCTTTCAAGCCATTAGCTCTAGTCTACAGCAGTACACATCTATACCTGTAAATGTTTATCTATTTTCTTATAATAGCATGATACTTAAATCAAATTACTGCAACACAAAATCTTGTAAGTTGTACAAATATAATTTTAGAAAATATTTTGCTGGATTTAATATATCTATTGCATCTGCAGAGAATATGTAACAATTTTCTGGGTAACTGTTATTTGAATTAAGTTAATAAAAGTAATTTTTGCTGCATTAAATGTCACATTTTTGAGGGTGATCAAAAGCAGCATGTAGCAGTCACTTTATAAGATGTGCCTTTAAAGCTTGTTTTGTATATTTTATCTCACTCTTTCACACAGAAAGACTTTTAGAAATGAATCAAATCAATCTTTTAAATCACTACACTAAATTCATAAGCTGCTGAATTAAAAATGCCATAATTAAGTCTAGGAAAGTAGCAGAAAAGTAATTTTTAAAATAATTTTGGAAGTCAAACCCTGAGTGACTGGTGCAAACAAAAGCTTTTGAAATATTTAGATTTTTAAATTAATTCACACAAAGATCTTTAAAAACTGATGCCCAAAATTTTCCAGAAACACCACAATACTTTTTGTAAGACAAGAATACAATTCATTGTACATCAAAGGGTCTTCCCTGCAAACAAATATTCATCCATCATGCACATCTAGATGAAGATTCAAAGTCTCCTAATCTGTCAGGATATAGCACAGTGCTTAATTTAGATACACTAAACAGATCACAGAATGTTAAAAAATTAAGCTAAAAAGGTCCTCAAGAGGTTGCCCAAATCTAAAATGGAATCTGCCAGAGTTAAGCCATTCTCTTACAGTCTTTAAACTATCTAAAACAGCTGGAAAAAAAAAAAAAAAAAAACAGACTTTAAGGCACATAAGCTCTTGAGACCAGATGCTTCTTTAGATCCTAAGAAGGATGACGTGCCTGAAAGCTTCTGTCTATCTTCCAGATCTATCAGTTGATCTCATAAAATATATTAATTCATTCCACAAATCTTGTCTTATGTCTCTAGAACAACAGAACTACAGCAAGACTACAACTAAGCAACTGTTGGCAAGTTTACATTTGAAAATGTGCTATATTTGAAGATACCACACATCTCTTAAATGTGTTGCACTGTTTCATTATCTTCCCTTCCCTACAAAAAAAAAAAATTCTTCTCATGTCTAATCTACTTCTTTTTTGCTGCTATTTATAGACCTTTTTTTTCTGCACATAGGCAGAAATGAGGAAGAGTTTTTTTCCTGCAGCAATGCTTCACATATGTAAGGATTTTTTAAATATATTTCCTCAGAACTTCAGAGCTCTTGATCTTTTACTCTCAGTCATTCCCAGAACTTCTGCAATCATCCTTGTTGCTGCTCTCTGGGCTCTTTCAGATGGAATTGAACCTTTCTGGTGAGAGTGCAGAATAGTTTTTCAAGATCTTACCAGTGCAGTGTTGGGAGCTGAGATTGCAGTACTTCTTAATGGGGGATATGTTTAGACACTTAGACTAGGACACAGAGAAAGGGAAGGGCTAGGTGACCTTTAGTTTCTCTAAGACCAGGTAATTTTATTAACTCTTTTAAGATATAGGCTTCCAAGGTTCATCTAAAACCTCTGCTGTGATGCAACATACGCTCTTCATATATTTTAATGTGCTGCAGAGATAGCTCTGGATTCTGTCTCTTATATAAATTTAATTTTTGCTATATATTTATAATGCTGTCATAAATGCAAATGAAAACCTCTCTACAAAGATCTTCACTGTTCTTGGACTGGTTTTGAAAAGGAAACAGTATAAATTTCTTCTATTGTTTTCTTCCTGAATACAGAATTTCAGGTTTTCTTAGTTTTGGCCTCAGATACCTAAAAGGAAAGGCTTATGAATTAAAGGCTTAAAGGAAACATCATATTGATTGTATTTTCTTCCCATTTGGAAGATTTAAAGTGCCTACCAAAGTAATTATTTCTACAGCATTGCATGATAATTGTGATGCTGATACAACATAACAAACCAGAGCTTTTTCACTGTCACTCGTGCATGGGGTTACCACAGTTACAGTCTGATAGTACAGAGGCAGCACCTGATAGGGAACAAATACACTGCTGCCCCTCTGGAATGTTATTTACAGTTGGAAATGCAATGCTGGGGAAAAAAAATGCAAAAACCATTTCACTTTCAATAATTTCAATATTTAACTCTAAAAATTTGAAGATCTGGACATTTACTTATGGCTATTCTTTGTCTTAAGTGCAATTCATATTGAAAGTATGGTCCTGTCTTTTAGTTGGACAAAATTTGATGTTAAGTAGCAATGTTTTCCTGTACTTCTTATTCTTTTTATCAACAGGCAAAAATTAAATAGGAAGTTGTTTAAAAGTTCACAATTTGGCTACTTTTTTTCTCGTATTATGGTTTCAACAGTCCTGTGTTCTACCCAGTTCAGACAAATACATCATTTACAGCCATGGATGTCAGTGCCTAAAGGTGCAAGGTTTAAGCAGATATGTTTGGTCTTTGACCAGGCCTATTCCCATTCCTGTGCTGGTCCATGTGAAAAAGACCTGAACATAAATATTATTTCTGGTAAAACAAATCCATTAAATTGACAAATATGAGGTCAATCTCACTGGCAGCCAGCTGTATCAGAAATCAATTCATAGCATTCTGCATGTTGAGTTCAAGGCTGTATGAGCAAATGAAACTTTGTGATACCCCAGAGATCTAAGAATTACTGCCATTTTCATCTCTGACACAAAGACAGTGAAGTACAGAACAGAAGTTGTTAAAGGCCCTACAGTAAATCAGACACAGAACGAGAAACTTGGACTCCTAATTCCCTGCTGTGTACTAAACCTTCCAGATCCCACTGGCTTGACACAGATGGAATTCAGATGAACTTCTATATTTGCTGCTCCTCAGAGTAACATAAAAGACTGTGCCTCTTGCTACTCAGGGTGTAGAGTATTCAGGAAAGCCAAGACACAGAAACTACTCCTGAATTCCCTTGAATTCTAATTCGTGGGGATAGGCACCTGGAAGGTGAAAAAGCCCAATAGCTTAGAAGCATAAAAATGCAAAATAATTTGTTACTTTATATTTCTCTGCTTACGCTTTTATATTTCCCCTTTTGACCTCTTCTCTTCTTCACAGCATAAAATATTTCCCATTATTTTTATGGTACATAGCACAAGAGCACCTTAATTAGCTTTAAGTTTACATAAGTATTTACATACTATCATCAAAAAAAAAAAAAAAAGAAAAAAAGAGAGCCTGTGAAAAAAAGCCTCTTAAGAGGAAGTATTTTAAAAACAAGTCAGCTTTCTCTGCCCTCATTGCCCTCTGCTGTTTGCAGTACTGTTTTGAACCCGCCACAAGCATTGGTAACATTTTCTTTCAGTGAAAGGCTAAAAAGCTGTGAGGATCTGCTATGAGTTATTTGAATAGGACATAATGATAAAAAGCCATAAATAAGTCCTAAATGACATAAAGTTAGTTGAATACATTCCTTCCAGACTCGCTCTTTCTGAGTTTACTACAGTCCAAGGTTACTCAGTAGTCTTGGACAATAGCTTCATTGATAGTGTTCTAGCAGCTCATCAAGAAAGATTCTCTAGCCTGTGCTCAAAACCTGTTATTTTATAGGCATAAAAATAGTTTGACTATGCCACTGAATATTGTGCAGCTAGCTAAGTGTCAGAACAAAAGAATTTAATATACACACTCTTTTAATTACACATTTTCATCCCAGGCAGTTTTACAGAGAAGCACTCAGCTCACACAGAAACACTTAAGTAACAGGCTAGGTAAAGAAAGTTCCATGGAGGTGAAATGCCATCTGCCTACCCAAACAGAAATAGCAGAGAGCTGTGAATTTCCACTTATCCTGAAGAACAGAAGAAAGGATAAAAAAGGTAGCAAAGAGTCTCAACTGGGAGTGTATTTACCAAAAAGTACTTCACAAATAAAATAGGAGATGAGGCCAGCAGCAGCCTTCCTAAAAAACTGGGAGCACTGTGTTAACAGGATGCCTGTTTAGTTGGAGCACAGGAGAGTGGCCCAAACTAAGCTCTTTAGACCTCCATCAAAAAATCTGTGAAATAGAAAAATAATTTAATAAAGCTTCAATTTAACATTGCTTTTAACAAAGCTTTTATGTAGCCTTTGATGTTCCTAGCTATAAATGGGACTGAGAAAGAAAGTGGGGAAAGTGATGTTAACACAGACACTGATGAAAAGAGGATTAGAAAGGAGAGAAATGTAAAAAAGCAGTTATGAAACATGCTTCTGCTGTGCATGATTTTCCCTAGTGCTAATGGAACCTAATTACCTGTCCAATGTATTGTATAATTTTCCATATTTTTGCTTTTATTTTACAAAACCCGTCGGAGTTAGAGCTATTCCTGCAAGTGCAAATAGGCAGGCCAGGTTCCACAAGGAGCAGCTGTTTTTCTAATGGCTGTTAGACTGCCCCAGACCATTCATCTCACCGGGGACATTTCCCTTCACTTTTTCCAGACTTCAGCAGAGCTTTAAAAGGCGAAGCACTTGTTGTTCCCACTTCTTCCACACAGTGTCAGTAAAGGCTCGGAAACCAGCTGGACTCGCCAGGCTGAAAGCGTTTGGAAAAATTTGTGGAGGCTCTCCATAAGCCAGGATAGCTCTGAGATAATGAAGCTGCTTTCTGG